GCTACAGATCGGCACAACACAGGTGGTTGTGGCGCGGACGATGAATGTTTCTCAGTCTGTCATAAGCAGGCTATGGTCCAGATACCGTGATACACAATCTGTACAGGACAGACCACGCTCAGGTCGACCAAGGGCGACAACTCAAGCCCAGGATCGATTTATCCGTACCTTGGCCTTGAGAAATCGTGTCATCACAGCAAATCAGATCAGCGCTCGTCTTCAAACAGACACTGGTGTGAGAGTGAGTGGCCAGACGATTCGGAATCGACTGCATAGGGGTCACCTTCGCGCCCGACGTCCTCGCGTGATCCCTTGTTTGAGAGATCATCACATTCAGGCAAGACGTCGTTGGTGTAGGGATCGTCAACACTGGGATAATCGACGCTGGAGCAATGTGATGTTTTCAGATGAGTCAAGGTTCACTGTTGATTTTTTGGACAGACGTAGGAGGGTGTGGCGTCGTCGAAACGAGCGCTTCCAAGACGTTAACGTCATCAGACATGATCGATTTGGGGGTGGTTCTGTTATGGTGTGGGGAGGCATCACTGTTGCTGGAAGAACGGCTTTACATGTTGTTGCAGGGCGTGTTACAGGCCAGTACTACCGGGACAACATCTTGGCAGTCCATGTTGTGCCGTTCGCACGACGTCATGGCCGCCGTTTCATCTTCCAGGATGACAACGCAAGATGTCACAGGGCCAGGATCGTTACAGGTTACCTCCAACAACAGAACATCACCACATTACCTTGGCCAGCACTGAGTCCCGACCTCTCCCCCATCGAGCATGTCTGGGACATGCTTGGACAGAGGTTACGTCAACGTCAACAACGTCCTGCCAATGTCCAAGAACTTGCTGCTGCGTTGCAACAGGAATGGGACAATCTGAACCAAAATGACCTTAGACGTCTCATTAGGAGTATGCCACGTCGGATCAATGCTTGTTTGGCAAACAGAGGAGGATTTACCCGTTACTGACTTGGTTGTGATGCTGTGGTAACTTTGCTGTTTGACCCCGGATATCATTTTACCCTTATAATGGTCAGTCTGTGCCTTACTTAGTCTAACGATCATTTGGAATAAATCGATGAATGTGAACTTCATTTCATTTTGTCATTTGTTTCTTCGTCAGTTTCATTAGGTGACTTTAATAACACTTAAAAATCAAATATCCCCTACTTTTTTTGAATAGTATATTACAGGAGACCAATAATGTTATAACTTTTATATATTACAGGAGACTGATGATGTTATAACTTTTATATTTTACAGAATAGTGATGTTATAACTTTTATATATTACAGGATACTAATGATGTTTTAACTTTTATATATATTACAGGAAGCTAATGATGTTATAACTTTTATTACAGGAGAACGATAATGTTATAACTTTTATATATTACAGGAGACTGATGATGTTAAAAGTCCTTTCAAATGTTCCATATGCGATGAGATATATTTACAGTATGAGGATTTCGAAAAACATAGTAAATTTCATATTATGGAGGATACAACGGAACCATTTTATCTGTGTAATTTGTGTGATGAGAAATTTGTATAGTACCATGATTTAGAGGAGCACTGTGAAATACATATAAAACAAGAAGATGAATTGATGGAGGATACTTCACAATCTAGTAAAACACAAGACCTCGGGTTTAGCGAGTTATCATCTTTCTCCTTGAGCCACCTCAGCCCTTCTGAAATGAAATGACATGGGGTTTAACGTCCTACTGTTTTGCTCCGAACTGGGCTAATGAAGACGGGCATACCCCATACAGTGTGCTATGAGGGAAATTTTGCCCGGACAGCGGCACTACGGCCTACTCTTATATCGAATTCCAACTGTCAAGGGATCTTTAACGTGCACGCCAATGTGTACACGGGACCTCGGTTTTTCGTCCCATCCGAACGACTAGACAGCTGTCCTTGTCAGCCCCTCCGTCCTGCATCACTGACAAGGTCACAAGGGAGAACCACGCCGGAAAATCTGGATGAACTTTCTCGGCCAATGCAGGGATCAAACACCCGACCTCCAGGCTAGCGAGCCAGCGCCGTATCCACTGAGCCACCTCAGCCCTTCTGTGTCCAGTAATAAACTAGATGATTCTCTACAGAAAAACGCAGGAACACAAACTGAAGAAAACCCATATAAAAGTGATATCTGTAAAACACCATTTTATCTAAACATTCATTTACAAGCACACCATGTAACATTGAAACATGCTAAAAGAACCAATAAATGTGATGTTTGTAGTAAATCATTTACTGAGAGCATAGTCCTACAGGAACACGAGAAAATTCACAATAGCGAAAAATGTTATAAATCTGATGTTTGTAGTAAATCATTTACTGAGAGAACAGCCTTACAGGAACACAAAAAAATTCACGATGAAGACAAACGTTACAAATGTGATCTTTGTTTGCAATCATATCTACTGAGTAGCAATCTACAAGCCCATATGAAGGAACCATAATATTCAACTGATGACATACTTATTATTTTTAACTTGCAACTGCATTCTATTTTATTTTGTGTGTAATTATAGTGTTCTTCCTATATTCTACTTGTATAATGTATATGTTTTGTAGTTTGGGAGTGACTTATCAAACTTCCCACTTTAAAATGCTATTGCATTTCTAATGATTTTAAATTTATCCTGATATTACATGTATATATGTCTTTGTAGTTTAGGAGGGACCTATGGAAGATTAGGTTTTTTTTTGCAAACTAAATACGTTGCCTCATTAAATAAAGTTTTTATTATTATTATTATTATGAGAATTCATACTGGTGAAAATCCATTTAAATGTGATGTTTGTAGTGAGAGTTTTCATTTTAGCGGTGGCTTACGTGCACACCAAAAAATACACCCCCCTAAAAAAAAAAAACCCCAATTTTATATAAATGTGAATTTTGTTTCAAAACGTCAAACACATCACGTATTCACAGGAGACATTTAAAAACGCATACTGCCGAGAAACCTCCTAAATGTGATGTTTGTTGAAATTTATTCCGGTTCAAATGTCATCTAGATAAACATATTATGACTATGCATACTAGGGGGGTTGGATGGCTGAATGGTTAGCGTGCGCGCGCTGTATCATAAAGTCTGTCATTGAGTCGACTGGCGTGGTTTTGAATCCCCGGTTGTACGTGACAAGGAGTAGGGTCGCCTGTACAACCTCGTGGGTTTTCTCCGGGTCCTCCGGTTTCCTCCCACTGCTAAAGACCCCTACGCGCAAGCGAATTATGTAAATAAAATTAAACCATATGTTAGTCCCGAAATGACCTAGTTTGTGTCGAGTGGACGTTAAACCCCATTTCTCTCTCTCTCTTTTTCCATGTGATTTTTGTAGTAAATCATTCATGACCAAGCGTATCCAACCTCAACACAGGTTATCTCATTTGACGGAGAGACCTTTTAAATGTGGTGTTTGTAGTAAATCATTCTGTTACGATATACGTCTGCAGAAATATGTCGTAAACATATGAGAGAGAGAGAGAAATGGGGTTTAACGTCCACTCGACACAAACTAGGTCATTTCGGGAATTGTTGAAATAAAATTAAACCATATGTTAGTCTCGAAATGACTAGTTTGTGTCGAGTGGACGTTAAACCCCATCTCATCTCTCTCTCTAGCTAAAGACCCCTACTGACAAGCGAATTATTGAAGTAATATTGAACCATATGTTAGTCCCGAAATAACTTTGTGTCGAGTTGACGTTAAACCCCATCTCTCCCTTATTTGCAGCACAGCAAGACACCTTTGAGATAATCCCTATAAATGCAGCATGGCAAAACATCTTTGCGATAATCCCTGTGAATACAGCTAATCCCTGTGAATACAGCGTATTCCATTTCATATTTTTGGTATGGAAACACATCTTTAAGACAATCCTTATAAATACTGCTTGGCAACATCTTTTGAGACAATCCCAGGAAATACGGCATGGCAACACATCTTTGAGACAATCCCTGAGTATAGTCGTTCGGATGGAACAGAAAAACATGATCCAAGTACACATTGTGCACGGAAATGAAACCCTTGACAGTTGGGATTTGATATAATGTAAGAGTAGGCCATAGTGCCAGGCACAGTTTCGCTCATAGCACACTGTATGGCTATGCCCTTCTTCATTAGCTCAGTCAGAGTAGAATGGTAGGACTTTAAACTCTGTTTCATTTTCATTTCACTCTGGTGAAAAATAAATTTGTATCTTTGAAATAAATTATTTAACTGCAGCAGTCTTTCAGTGGGGTTTGGGTGGCTGATTGGTTAACGCAAGCCCATTGCATGATATTTGTCATTTGTTTTCCTGCTTGTATGTGACAAGGAGTAGGGTTGCCTGTCCAACCTCATAGGGTTTTCTCTGGGTCGTCCGGTTTCTTCCCACTGCTAAAGAACCATACACACATACGAATTATTGAAATAAAACTGAACCATATGTTAGTCCAGAAATAGCAGGCCCATCAATTTTGTTCACAGATAATAAAGATAATGAGGTGTTAGACCGTGCATTCAACTAATAAAAACACATGCACCAAATTTGGGCATTGAACCTCAACTAATTATCGTACACAAAAAATGCTCTTCTGGCTACTTAGTCAAGATGTAATAAAACTATACACCAAGTTTCAGCACTCTAATTCATATCAAAGGAATTGTGTCCCAAAGCAACGATCAGTGGAATTCCTTATCTCTGCTTAAAAGCAGAAATGCTCATCGTCGACTTTCACTTTCAGTTAGAAGCGAAGCACAGTTTTGTGCCAAAATGTGAGATGGAAAGTGAGAAAGGCAGACAACCCCAATTTAATAGTCTCCTGTAAGGCCTGTTTTGCCAAGGGGTACATGATGCTAGTTTTGTTTGTTTTTTTCCCCAGAATTCTATACAAGAACTGTCGAATATCGACGATTATGGCTTACTCGTGTTTGTTTGATTCGAATCTAAAATTGAGATACAACCTAATTAAAGCTAAACCGGAAATGACGTTATAACCAAGAACACGCCATTTTTGTTCGTCAAGTTTGCTTCTAATCTATTTGTCCATAAATTTTACCCATTTCGCAATAGGATGTTTCCATGAAACAATAGTTAAGCTTTACACCCCAGTAGTACATCAGATAGAATTTATTACAATTTCCACGACTTGGTGGTGGTTCGATTTCTTGTTGGAATATTATGAACGACACAGTTTTGTCACTTCAACACTTGATAAAACACTGGCAGCTTAGTTAAATATTATTGCTATTTTATTGTCTTAACAACCAATTGCATGGAATTCCTGAAACAATATTAGTACAGTTATATTTTCAGTATGTCCAGTGTATCTGAATAAATAATCAATTCATACAGGTCAGATCCCGCTGCACTAATTTATCGCTATAGAATGGTGAGATTTCCTTTTCAAATACATTTCTTGTTATTGGAGTGGGGTTGGATGGTCGAAAAGGTTAGCATGTGAGCGTTGTATCATAAGGTTTGTCACTGAGTCAACTGGCTTTGATTCCCAGGTTGTATATGACAAGGAGTAGGGTTACCTAGCAACCTTGTGGGTTTTCTCGGTTTCCTCCGGTGTCCTCTGCTAAAGACCTACGCGCAAGTGAATTATTGGAATAAAGTTGAGCCATGTGTTAGTCCTGAAATGACCTAGTTTGTGTTGAGTGGACGTTAAACCCTATCTCTCTCCCTCGACAGCTTATTACAATACTAGAATTATTTTCGACGATCACAGAAAAACGCGGATATTGCAGAATCTGGTACCTGTGTTTATAATCTGAAATGGAAAATAGCAGGAAAGGCCATTTTTCATAAAATAAATTTATTTCTCACATTTTATCTTTGTAAATACCCACCAAAAACCTCAAATATAGTTTCTTGATAAGTAGATAATTTCTGTCGAATGCCTCGTTCTGATCACTAATTGGGAATTCGCTTATGAAAAATACCTATGAATCAATCTATAGTTGCACACTGCATCACGAGCTAGATAGCTGAAACAATCTCATTTAATAATACAAATTTCCATCTCATTTGGGGCCTAAAATTATCAAAATAGACATTATTATATAAAACTGAAAAAAATGGAAAGATCCATCTCATGAAACAGAACAAATTCACAATGGTTAAAACAGAATTTCCCCTTTAGTCAAGCAAAAAAATCATCACCCCTACTTGCCAACTCAGAACTTGGTAAAAGAAAAAATAATTTCATTGTTCATAAATGCCAGTTCAAGTTCATTTATTAATTTACAGGAAACTAATGATGTTAAAACTTTTATATATTACAGGAAACTAATGATGTTCAAACTTTTATATGCATGTATATTACAGGAAACTATTAATGATGTTATAACTTTTATATATTACAGGATACTAATTATGTTATAACTTTTATATATTACAGGAAAATAATGATGTTAAAACATTTCACCAGTGTGTTGTATGTTCCCAAGTTTTTCAACAATATGAGGAGTTAGAAAATCACAACAAAGTTCATGTTAAAGAAGAGGAAACTGATGACTATGACGACGAATGCCCTGTATATTTTGAAAATACAACCGATCATGTTGACCCAAATGTAAATAGTAATGATGACAGTGTTGACATGCACAAAGCATTTCCAGTACAGTTCAAAATGAACAAAATTAATAACATTGACTGTTATGAAAATGGTCCAGACAATGTTAATTTAGATACAAATAGCGATGACTGCAACAAAAAATACCCATTACAATTTGACAAGAAGAAAAGTGATATTGAAACATTCCACGAGTGTAAGATTTGTCACAAAAAATTTCTATCGTCTTTTGATTTAGAGAAGCATGGTTCCAAACATGTTCAGCCTAAGGAAGAGGATGAGATCATACTAGAGAAGATTTTTACCAAGACAATGCAGAATTCACTCTTCAAAATGATACGCGATATAGACCAAGATATCGAACCAAAAGCACCGAAAGGTCCTAAAACTTTTAAATGCGATGTTTGTGGTAATTCATTTAAGCAGTTTGGTCATCTGGAGACACATAAACGAACTCACACCGGTGAAAAACCCTTTGAGTGTGATGTTTGTGGTAAGTCATTTGCCAGGAGTAGCAATCTTAAAGCACATGTCACTATCCACACTGGTGAGAAACCTTATAAATGTGAAATTTGTGGTAGACCGTTTAACAAGGGCCACCATTTAAAAGCACACAGGAAATCGCACACCGGTGAAAAACCCTATAAATGTGATGTTTGTAGTAAATCATTTAGTGAAAGCTGTACGCTGAAGAGACACATGGGAACTCACACAGGTGAGAAGCCCTTTAAATGTGGAGTTTGTGGAAAATCTTTCATAGACAAAGGTAATTTGATGAGACACATGAGAACGCATACAGGTGAAAAACCTTACAAGTGTGAAATCTGTGGAAAATCGTTCAATCAGAGTGGAGATTTACAGACTCATAACAGAACGCATACAGGTGAAAAACCCTTCGATTGTCATGTCTGTGGGAAATCCTTCAACGATAAAGGAAACCATCTTAGACACATGAGAACGCATACAGGTGAAAAACCCTACAAGTGTAATGTCTGTGGGAAATCTTTCATTGAACGGAGAAATCAACAGAGACATAGTAGAACTCACACCGGTGAGAGGCCATATAACTGTGAAGAGTGTGGCAAATCATTCATAAGAAGTGACTATTTACAGGAACACATTAAAACTCATTCTACGCAAAAACCCTTCAAATGTGATGTTTGTGAGAAATTCTTCAGAGACAAGGGAAATCTTCAGAGACACATGAAAACACATTCCGGGCATAAAGCTTTTAAATGTGGTGTTTGTGATCGGTCGTTTATGGAAGGCCGAAATCTTCAGAGGCATATTCGAACTCATACGGGTGAAAAGCCATTTAGATGTGATGTTTGTGATAAATCATTTACACGGAGTGATAGTTTACAGGAACATGCTAGAACGCATATAGGGTATCATTGTGATGTTTGTGATAAATCATTTACGCGGAGTGATAGTTTACAGGAACATGCTAGAACGCATATAGGGTATCATTGTGATATTTGTGATAAATCATTTACGCGGAGTGATAGTTTACAGGAACATGCTAGAACACATATAGGGTATCATTGTGATATTTGTGGTAAATCGTTCTTAAGAAATGATCATTTACAAGACCATGTGGAAACTCATACACAGGATAACAATCTTATAACCGATGTTGATAGTATTAAAAAAGAACATTGTGATTAAGAGCTGGCAGTTCTCACTATAATAGTTAAAAATTAGATAATGTAAAGGGAATTTGCTGAAAAATTTCAGTCAATTTGATTTACTCTGAACCCTGAATTTAGCGATTGAATTGATAAAATACATAGTCTCGATTATCCATTTCTTGATTTTATCATTAATGAGCGTAGAGCAGCAGATCGGATCCTAATCCAGTAAATATCGCAGGCTAGCGATGACATCGAGAGTTGATTAAACTCTTTTCATGTTAATATATGTCTAATTAATAGTTTATATAACATGTCAGGCCTAAGAAAAGACCTGCAATAGGCAGATTTACATGTAGCTCTTGCATAATACCGTCTTCATTAGCCCAGTTTAGGAGCAGAACAGTAGGACGTTAAACTCCATTTCATTTCATTTCTTGCATAATGTATGTTTATTTATTTTAGACTAGTACAAATGATAAATATTTTAGACTATTATTAAAATAAAATTGTTAATGAACAAATGATAAATAATATTTTAGACTATTATTAAAAAAAAAATGTTAGTGAACAAATAGTAAATATTTTAGTCTATTATTAAAAAAAAATTGTTAGTGAACAAATGATAAATATTTTAGAATTACAATGAAATTGTTAATGAACAGGCTTATGATATTTGGATGTTTTCATGTTAGACTGTACCACACACTTGCAGGTTCGCTCCTGGTGTTGGCTGAGAAAGTTCACCAGGATTTTCAGGCGTGGTTTCCTCTTGTGAGGGGTGCAGGACATTAAAGATCCATTGGCAGTTGGAATTCGATATAAGAGTAGGCCATTGTACACTGTATGGTGTACAGTATGCCTGTCTTCATAAGCCCAGTCAGAGCAGACCAGTAGGACGTTAAACCCCATTTCATTTAGTGACATCTGAAAGTTATTATTTCTGGTAAATATAAGTTGTTTGTAGCTTTATTACATGTACATGTACATGAGCAAAGTGGCATGCACATGTCAGGGCTGCCGACAACCAGTATCGCAGTGCAATTTGCGATATATATTTTGTCCGTTGCTAATCAAAAATTAAATTCTAACGTTTTTGATTCGCAGTAACTGCGAATCATTAACATGCCTGTCATTTTGGATATTGACACAAAGATTTATCCACATTTCTCAACACTTTCAACATATATAAAACATGAAATAAATTTTATAAACAAAACGGAATTCTCCGTGTGACGTTTTCTTCTCAAATTACCCAGACTTAATTCATTATACTATATAATACAGGGACATAACTATTAAACCAGAAATAGTGAATCAAGTAGTACCACTCGCGTTGTGAGACATGTCATTTTCGAGTAATTATATCAGTATTCAATTTGAAAAAAATAAATTCAGTGTTTCCTCCACGTATTGTAAATAAAATACAAAAGATAAATATGTGTAAACGTATTGTAAAATGAGAAATCAAAGTAAGAATTCCTGTAAAATATTATTGTTTATATCGCGTGCGTCTAGTTAATCGAGATTATTCGTAAAATACTGTGTGCTTCCGATTTAACAAAAATAATAACACATGATAAAAAGCAGACGAAATTGGCTTCAGACATACATGTAAGGCCTAACCAAAAGTCTACATTCAGAAATGTGCACAGCTACCAGTAGCAGTGCTAAAATTCTTAGAAATCTAATCATTTGTTATAAATTAAAATAATCTTGTTATTTAGGTCATTTATGTTGAAACTGAAATACTACTAATCAATTTTTAAATTTGCTAATCAAATTTGACAAAATTGGACTTTTTGATTAGCAGTGCTGCTAATCAATAATCATCTGTGAAAAATTACCGACAGCCCGGATATTGTATGTTATATAGATTTATTCTTGGTTAACGCATGCATGATTCAATATAAGGTCTGTCATTGAGTCAGTAGACGTGGCTTAGCTTCCCCGCTTGTACATGACAAGGAGTAGGGTCGTCTGTAAAACCTTGTGGACACAGACCTTGTGGAGGGTAAACCCCATCTCTCTCTCTCTCTCTCTCTCTCTCTCTCTCTCTCTCTGTATGATGAATTAACTGTATGTAAATCTTATCTTTATTATTACTTGTATGTTACGCACGTAGTTATACATACAGTATACACGTATAATAGTTAAATAAAAATATATATTCCTGAGTTACGTGTGGGGAATTATTATTTTTTAAACATTATGAAGCCTGTTGACCAATGATTAAACACTACATGTATATAAAATGGCAGGATTGCTATCACCCGTAGATGGAAATGTACATTAAGCTCCACGAACAAAAGAAGAAAGTAATAGAGAAAAGGGAACGCATGAATGTCATGGGCAAGAATTCTGTTAAGTACAAGGGTTCTTTTACCAGTAAGTACAGAACCTCAGTTTTTTCTTGTCCCATCCGAAGGACTATACATTCAACCTTTCCAGGCCCTCTGTCCTACTACCAATGACAAATCCTCATGGACTTTCTCAGCCAGCATCAGGGATTAATCACAGGATCTTGAAGTTAGTGAGCCAACGTTATTAGTGACTGGTTAATCATGATGGATATTACCTATATACAAGGGAGGTTGGATGGCCGAATGGTTAGCACGTGCGCGCTGTATCATAAAGCCTGCCATTGAGTCAACTGGCGTGGTTTCGAATCCCCGGTTGTACGTGACAAGGAGTAGGGTCGCCTGTCCAACCTCGTGGGTTTTCTCCGGATCCTCCGGTTTCCCCCCACTGCTAAAGACCCCTATGCGCAAGCGATTTATTGAAATAAAATTAAACCATATGTTAGTCCCGAAATGACCTAGTTTGTGTCGAGTGGACGTTAAACCCCATTTCTCTCTCTCTCTCCCACCTATGTACATGTATATTTCAAGTAAACACATCATCAAGCAATAATACATTTTCTTGTAGTTATGTCATCTGTTAAACACATCATCAAGCAATACTTTTAGTTATGTCATCTGTTATGATAGTCTATATGTAGAGCTTCAACATCACGCTGATCAGCAGTGAATATACGCTTGGCCGCTACAATCACTGATAGGGATGACATCGATGTGGCTTAATGAGCCCCAAATATTAACTTTTTTCCTTCTACAAATTAAATTCTAGAACATTTTATTTTAAGCATTAGAAAAATAAAGGTGTTTGAAGTATTTGTAAGTAAAATGTCCTATTTAGTTTAAATGGGTTTTAAAATGAGTAAAAGGCACCATTCTGCCCAAACCAGTAAAGTCTTATGTCAACAATACATGCGCTACTGATCCAATGATTGACACCGCGTGATGTGACGTCACATGCCTGGCGGCATCTTTTACAGAGATATTAGAAGACTTTCGTAATCCTCTGTGAAACAATCTGTGAAAGAGAAAGAGTAGGAATACTATGTCAACTCCTCCCTACTAAGTGGGCTCAGGTTTTCTAGAAAGGGTAAACATATGCCATGTCAATCCCCGTTACTAAGAAAACGTGGTATCAGGTACGCTAGAAAGAGTAAATGTATTCAGGCTTGTGCAAAAGTTGTAATAGGCCCTTGCCAAATGTAGGCCCTATATTGAGCAGCTATTATTACTTAAGGCCTACTCAAGATATAGTCAAGGTGACTGAGATGTAAATAAGGTTAGGGCACATGATTGTTGGCAAGATTGTAGGTTAGGGTTAGAGTAAGCATTAGGGCTAGGTCCAGGATTAAAGCGGAAATTGCAAATTTTCTAAGAAAGTCAAAACGTAATTATTTCCATGTCTTTTGCTCAATAGGTTGTCAACTCACAATTATACGATCATAGGTGTCATTCTCACACTTAAGATTCATTTACACAGGAAATAATAACACAATTACCTCCCAATTACCTCCCTTGTTTTCTCTTCTCCACCATGGAGTAGCGATATTCAAACGTTTGAAAATGAAGAGGAAAATGATATTTTTGCCAATTTCTCAGCTGGCAATAGTGAATTATAGGATTAATAGGATTATTCTTTAACAAGGTAGGACTGTTTATGGATACCATCTATTTTCAGGCTTTATTTTAATAAATTTTAAAAATATAACTTAAAAATTTGCAATTTCCGCTTTAAGGTTAGAACACAAATTGGCAACCTATTCGCCTTGCGGCGGATTCGACCAATGAAGCTTGCAACCTTTTCGATGGCAACATATTCAGAATAAAGACCAGATTCGCCCAAACTCATCCATATTTATCAACCAATAAAATCCAACGTTACATGTATAAAATGAAAGTAGGATATATTATACCGTACACTACTACAATATTAAGCTATTTCTTTAGCTCAGAATTGAGGTGTAATTTCAGATTATCGTACACAATTCTTAGCATCTTACTTCATATGTTCTGAAAGGTAATAAAACAAGCTTTCCAAATATTATTCATAACCGTTGGCACAATGATATTAAAGGGGCGCACTCGTATCCTAAAAGTCGCCAGTTTTTCAATATTTTAAAGTGCAAGACTGTTAATATTCCCAGTCAAAACTAGAACCATCAAATTTTGAGCATCCAACTACATAAAGTGAAGAATAATTAAGTAAGCTTTCCAAATATTATTAATAAAAGTTGGCACAATCATATTAAAAAGGTCAAAATTCGGATCCTCGTACAAAATTCTGAACATCCAACTAGATATATATTCTGAAAGGTAATTAAACCAGCTTTCCCCAAATTATTAGTAAACGTTGGCACAATCATATTAAGGGGGGCGCGCTCTCAACCTGAACATAGCCATTTTTTAAGAATATTTAAAAGGGAAAGACTGTTAATATCCGGGTTGTACGTGAAAAGGTGTAGAGTCGCCTGGCCAACCTCGTGGGTTTCCTCCGGTTTCCTCCCACTGCTAAAGACCCCTACGCTCGAGCGAATTATTGAAATAAAAAAATAAACCATATGTTAGTCCCGAAATTACCTAGTTTGTGTCGAGCTGATGTTAAACCCCATTTCTCTCTCTATCTCTCCCAACCCCAACTCACAGCCCTAACCCCACATCTTGTAACCATCTCATGGCAACCCTAACCCTAACCCAACATCTTGTAACCTTCTCCTGACAATACCTGTTTACTGTATTTATCATAGCATGTTTATAATCTTCAACCAATTTCTTCTCTCAAATGCTAACTCCCAAATCCAGCCATTCCTTTCAAATATCTCACATAGGGCAAATAAAATTTATTTCATTGTAAAAGAAGAATTTTATTTAAATGAACAATATGTAAATAAAAACAATTATCTCATAATATGAAAAAACAATAAATAATACCCATATTGACTATAAAGTTGAGCAATTTATCTTTTACCACATTAAATTGTAGGGAATAAATAAATTGATATTTCTTTGGCTTTCCAAATAAGGAATTTAATTATAATATTCAAATAAATAAATAAATTAATGATAATATAATATATGAAAGCGGTCTTGAATTATAATCATCAATTAAAAAGGAATGTTCCTATCTATAGTTTCTTGTTTAGAATATTGCAATATTTGATGATATTTTGAAACAATAAGAATCATTTGAGATAATTAAGCTCCTCAATAGTTAATTCTTTGAGACACGGTCGAGCTCCGTTTCTTGGAATACCCGCTTCTTGTTGGACATCAATTGTTTCTTGTCCAGCCTTTTATTTCGCCCCCTGTTGTACGTGACAAGGAGTAGGATCGCCTGTCCAACCTCGTGGGTTTTCTCCGGGTCCTCCCACTGTTAAAGACCCAAGCTTTTTTTCGAGAAGAGCACATCCAAACGTGATTCGAAATCTTTGGGGCTCTTCAGTGCCGACCGGTCTTCTCATTGTAGACCCACTGTTTAAAACTTTCTGTCGGCCTCTTCTGTAAAAGACCACGTGGACCACTCAGTACGTAGACTCCTTCTAATTTTAGAGCTGCTCCGGGGAAAGCCGTCCCCTCTTCTATCTGTTCTTGACAGACTTCACCATTGTACAGGTTGATGATTGGTAAAACGACAGACATTTTTCTTCTTTCTAGAAAATTCCTCGGTATAATTCAGGTAGTGATGAAATTGTAGTAAGTCGTATGATATTGAGAAATCACTTAGTTAACTCTTTAAAGCAAACTGCAATAATGAAAAGTCTAACATCCCCACGTGGCTTTATACTACAACCTCCTGCTATATTTTAGGCGGTGTCCGCTCTCTAAAACACATAAACCAATCAAATTTTGCCTAACCCTACCATATTTGGAAATAACCAATGATATCGACCTTCTCCTCGAGAGCGAGGCATGGCATAGAATTAAGAACGTCTTAGCCAATGATTCATTCACCAGATCCATTCATTCAGAGCTGTATGTTAAATCGATAGTTTTCCCCACATGAAACAATACCTTTGTACAGAACTTAGTAATAACATATTTTTGTTTCTAAAGAAAAAAAAATAAATTTGAGGCTCTCGGGTGAGAGCGACATTAGTATGTTAGATTCTCATAACTAGTTGATTTTATTTGCTAATAAGTATAGTGTTTTCTGATGATTTTGAATGCACTTTGGCAATATGCCTAATAGCTACAAATGTCGTACTGTTAAACTGTGTTTAACCCTACAATATTGATACAGTCTAAAACTACTTACGCAAGTACAAATAGGTTCAAAAACACTTATTGTCAACAGTTTGTATTGACATAGGTAATTCTATCATAAATAGTGAAGACTGAACCACTAAAATATATATTGAACAGTTTTTCTTTGTGGTAATGCGTTCTACATTTTCAAAGCGGCATTTCTTTTAATGTAAGCCGCCATGACACCAGCCAGATGAAATCTAGCCAAATTTCGGGTTACAGTTGGGTTTCATCAAATCATATAATTATGCGGTAAGATTCCACCTTTATTTCAATGGGAATTGGTTTTTGATATGTTAAGCTATGTGCAGTACAATTTAGGGCCAGTTTATGTGTAAGGCCAGTAAACATTTTGTTGTCATTTGACTAAAAAAAACTTGCGCAAAGGAACTCCGTAGGACGAGTCACTACTGTGGCTGGGGTAAGGCGGAAGACATCAGTAGTGGAACCATTTCTATATGCCTAACGGAGGCACCATGAAGGTCGATGATCACAATGGGAATTATTAAGTTGCACATCCCCTGGGGGTAGGGGCTGTATGTACGCCACCGAAATTGCGGAAAGGGTCGATTTACTTC